TAAAAATGACCTTCCATATGACCCTGCAATCCCCCTACTGGGAATATACCCTGAAGAACACAAATCACTCTATAAAAAAGATACCTGCAAATGTATGTTTATCGCAGCGTTGTTCACAATACCAAGAACCTGGAAGCAACCATGCTGCCCATCAAAAGAGGACTAGATTAAAAGAAGGTGGTACATATACACGATGGAATACTACGCAGCCATGAAAAAGAACAAAATCATGAATTTCGCAGCAACCTGGATGGAACTAGAGTCTATAATACTGAGTGACCTCTCACAGAAACAAAGATCCGAATATCACATGTTCTCACTCATATAATGAGCCTTGAACATCCAATGTAATACTATAAGAAAATGACTGACGGTACTGGGAAACTATGGGGGGGGCGATGGGATTAACAGTAGCAAATATCTGTCGGGGGATGGGAAAACACCTCTTATCAACAGGGTGCCTGAATGAAACGTAATTGTACACCTAACCCTTAACTGTACCCCACAAAACCATAATAAAAAATACTGATTAATAAAAAAAAGTAGAAAAATTCCCATTTTATCAAATAAAAAGTTATAAACACAATTTTAAGATCAAGATGCTAAAAAAATAAATAAATGAGCTAATATAAAAAAAAGATCAAGATGCTTTTTAAAATGGAAAAAAAAACAAACAAGAATTACACCACAAATTCCTTTCTTAAATATTTGCTTCATAATAAATTAACATTTACATGTAAATAGAGATTATGTGACTGTGCTCCACGACTTCACAGCAATTTCTGGAAAAACATGTCTTACCGGGTCTTCTTCTGTGAGGAAAATAAAAATAATCCAGGAGGTTTTGGTTCATGTAGCAAGTGGGAAATCTGAATTGGTAAACCTTTGGCAATCTGCTCTATCTTACACATAGTCTCACTATATTAAATAGTTTCAAGGTAGAAAAGGTTTGCCTTATTCAATTAAATTCACTGACTTCCATTTTAGGTTGAATAATAAAATAGAAACTTTATTACATTTTGCAGACCTTTAAAAATATGAAAAATAAGGGGCAAAAGTTTTTAAAACCAGTTTTACAGATGTACATGCTAGCATCAAGTTCTACACTTACATTTAACATTTGTATAAAATACATTATACAAAAGATTTATAGATTTGGCATACATAAAAAGAATTAAAGCATTCAGATATTTCTGTGATCTAACAGTGCAATATGCACGTACTTGGAAGAAAAATACTTATTACCTGAGCAACACTGTTGTAATTCAAATCAAGAATCCCATCAATGCACCATTTAAATAAAGACTTTAAAAAACTCCACCTTTACCCTGTTTAACACTTTGACTGGATCCTTGCTTCATGACATTTCTAAAACCAACTGTATCCTTCATATTTCCAGCTAGGTACACTTCTGGTAGATACTTTTGAAAATAACTAATTACTAAGTAGTGGTTCATTTAAATAACTCTTCAGACTATTGAACAAGCAGGTCAAGTCCAGAAAAAGAACAGCTGGGGAAAAAAACAAAGTCCTCTGCAGAAGATAACCTTAGTCTTCTACTTCTTAATGTGACCCACAGACATAACCCATCTTAATATATCTTTGAAGACATAACTCCCCTAATTTTCTGGAGTGGGATGGCAAGAAAAATTTAATTTAACGTAGACTGAATTAATCTACCCTAAAAATATCAGCTCTTTCTTTACTTGCAACTCCAAGTTTAAGTGAACCAACCGCAAGATTCTCAGTTGCTACTTTTATATTTGCATATATGCATGCACATACACAAATGCACAGCCTCAAAGTAAATACAAATAAAGGTTTCAACACAATTAGAATACACAATGTCAAATAATAACTACGCCTGTTATTTACTTATACAAGGTAATTTACCTTTGCTCCAAATTTAAAGCATATTGGTACTTTTTAAAAGCTAAAAATATTCTAAATGTATTGAATGCCTGGGAATTCTTTTAAAAACAAAAATTATGATCTGTAATTCTATATATAAAATTTACATATATATAGAATTATACGTAATTCAACTGTAGTCAATTCAAAGGATATAATTCAAATACAGAAAAAGGAAACTGCCTGATTGTGTCATAAGGATATATTTCCTTCAAATAAGGATACTCTGCAAAGCAGAAATGATTTTTAACCAACAAGTATACAGTACACCTCATTACTTTAAAAGTTATAAGTTACTTGTTTTGGAAATCAGATCCTTCTATCACAATTTCAAAGTACAACTAGCAAAAAAGGAATTACTCTGTAATTTCATCAATTTGATGTAAACAGTTTGTTAAAAGACACCTCACCTGTTCTACCCTAAAATAATCTGTATTTTCTTCCTTAAAACTTGATTCTTCAGCAGGCTTAATAAATATAATGTAAATTAACCAGTTAACACTGAGCATAAATTATATGACTCCTCTTTTCAAGATGTCCAAGGCACATTAAAACGATTTTTTAAATGTTTACAAAACGGATTAAAGAATCAATTTGCAACTTCCCTACTAAACACTTTTTGGTACTTGTATAAAGACCTTTAACATATGCAAGGCTTTTTCTTTTTTTTTTTTTTTTTTTAGTCAGACTCACTCTGTCACCTAGGCTGGAGTGCAGTGACAAAATCATGGCTCATTACAACCTTGAATACCTGGGCCCAAGTGATCCTCCTGCCTCACCCTTGCAAGTAGCTGGGACTACTGACAATAGCTGACATCACCATGCCCGGCTATTTTTTTTTCTATTTTTTTTGTAGACATGAGGTCTTGCTATGTTGTCCAGGCTCAAGCAATCCTCCTTCCTCGGCCTCCCAAAGTACCACAATTACAGGTGTGAGCCACCACATCCAGTCTGCAAAGGCTTTAATATTTGATAGCTTTGTCCTGTCTTTTTATGCTTTTCTCCTGAAAGTACATAAAACCCCATGTACCATGAATATTTATTCATGCCTATTTGTATCAACATTGGAATTTGAAATATAGAATGATCAGAGGCTGAAACCTTAAAAATTAGGAAATGATGCCCAGAAAATGAGGGGGTGTTACATATCTTCAGGTATATACTTTATTATACAAAAAACAAGCAATCCAGACTCCATGAATCTCATTTCTATTGAATAATTTTGGTTACATTTTAACAACACATACTTTAAAGATTAAATGCTGTTATCAGTATGCAAATGTTTCTTATTTATTAGTCAGACTCTGGCTGACTCATAACAGACCTTAGTAGCACTGTCAAGCCCTTTCAACCAATCCATCTACCTTTGGCCTTTGTTCTCCAATTTGATGCTACATTTCAGGAAAGTTGGACATTTCTCTTTGAAAAACTGAGGGCAAGAGATCACTATATAAACAATTTGCTATCATTAAAAAAAAAAGGGCGCCTTTCTACTCATTTTTGCTTAATAATCCATTTTCTTCAAAAGACCTCTGAGGCAAAGATTTGTCTTGACCCAATTACATGTGCTTGACAGTGAAGGTAGAGACGAATTTATATAGCCTATGTGCTGAATCCCATGGGGGTCATCTGATATAATGCTTAATTTTAATTCTAAAACTTGTATTTACTTACACAAAGTAATATTATAAGGCATTAAATGTAATTAAGGCATGTTACTATACATAACAGCAGTGATTTGTCACAGTATGTGAGGAATTATTTCCTAAATAATGCTAATCTGTACATGGGTAACACTTTTCATCATCAAAATTACAAAAGTGCTTTCAAATATCAGAGGCAAATATGATTGTTTAAAAACAGAAGCACAGAGGTGAGGTTAAAGGGTCTAGCTTAAAGAAAGCATTCTTTAAGAGACAAAAATTAATTTTAGGTCTTGATACTCCAGTGTTCTAATGACCAGATGACAGCTTTCCAACCATGTTATTTTGGGGGCTTCAAAATCTTTTAATCTATTTCTTAGCCTCTAATACTGAAATTATACATTACATTGCCATTTGTTTGTACTTATGCTTTCATAGCACATGTGCTGAATTTGTTTTTTAAAAGTTTCAAAATAGTGTGTTAAGTATATGCTATCATAAACTTAAGAATCAGACTTTTTTGCCAACTAAATATTTTGGTAACTCACAGTAGTAAATTTTCTTCAGTTGCAGACATGTCATGCTATCATCATTTTATTTCATTAATTTAACAAAAACTTTAAATAAGAAATTACTTAAAAAAATAAAATTTAAACATAGCTAGTCTTAAGTGAGAAAATGACTTCCAAGAACTTTCTAAACACACATTTAAATTCATTTCTGCTTTAAGCACTAACACCAGATTTTTGCAGAGACTGCTCTCAATAGCAACAATTAGCAACTGTAGGGATCTTAAACACAATCCACATGTAAGTGGATTTAGTTTAATTTAGTTTAAAAAACTATAAAACATCTTCAATCTCCCTAAATCCTGCTTTTGAAGTGGTTATTGAACATAACCGATTCACCACATGCCAGATGCACACACGTGATCATCAACCCCATGACTACGAGCTAAGTGCTATATCTGGTGTTGAGCAGCAGGGGACCAAGAATCTTGCCCATACAGTTTATGATCATCTTGTTGGCTGAGGTGTGTTCCTTTGGTTGGAGCAATTCCATGTTCCACTTCTCTCTGCTGTGATGGGGGTGTGATTCCTGACTGCAGATGTGAAGAGTCCACTGTTGAATGGTGACTAACATCCACTTTAGCTAAAATTTCATAATACAGCAAATAAAATACTGGTGTTATTATACCTACTATCAACATGATCACCACAGCCGTCCACCACCCTATTCCCCAGTCTGCTCCGTAATAGGGATCCTTATGCTGAGTGCTTCTGTTATCAGACTCAAAACGCACTTGCTGTGCTGTTAAGGCAGACACCACCTCATCGAGGTTCTCTCTCTTGTTGTCTGTGCACTTGACTATTTGTTCTATGTCTCGGTCTACTTCTTTTAAAAAGCTACCAGCTGACTCACTGGAAGAAAGAGAATCAACAGCTGGCAAAATGTCCTGTGGTTCTGAAGAGTACTGAACAGATGAGTGACGTGAGGCCTGTCTTCCTTTGGGAGGACAAAGTGTTTCAGTCAAGGAACTAAACTTTTTTACTGGAATTTTGACAGCCCTAAGGGCAAAAAAGTCTTGATCGCTGATGAGATTGTTAACTCTCTTGATGTCTGCTACCTGAAAAAAAAAAAGAACATTCAGCTGAGTTCTAAACCAAAATAAAGGTAGCAATAGTCATTCATCCCAGTTACTTTTGGAAGAAAAAAAGCTGAGCTCAGCTATTAGTAGTATTAAGTTCCTACATCCAATGAGAGTTTAACTTTATTTGTAAATGAGAGTATTATACCACTTTTGATCCATCAGTGTTAGGAAATCACCAATTACTTTCTACTATCACCCAAGTATTGGTAACACTAATTAAACTTAGCTATTTAACTAGACTCTAGGGTGCTTTACTGTTTCCCTTTACAACTTGTGAAGGAGGATTATGGACACTTAATGTTCTTTACTCCAATCTGGCAACTAGAATATAGGCAAATGTTAACTTACCCAACTAAAACTACCATATTTTATCAAAACTGAGATGCCACCAACTCCAAGATGCAACATTTTATGTATCTTAAGGAAAAAAAAAAACTCCACCAAATATATTGAAGATGCCGCCATTCAAATTTCAAAAATGTTAAACTGTGTGGAAAAACATATACCTCAGAACTAATGAAATATGGTAATTTGTCTCCCTCACTTGTCTTCTGAAGCCATTTTCCCCCAATCTCAGTATAAGGACATTATTCAATTAGCTTCAAGATTAGTCATTTTTATAAACTTTCTCTGTATTATATACCTCTTAACCAGTTTACATATCCCGTCTACAGTGGGATATGCCTATCTGTATATCCTAGTCCCTTGTGACAGGGAAGAGGGAAGTTAGATTACCCATTAGTCTGCCAGTTTCTCCCACCACCTTTAAAGTTGTTAGTCCCATTCATCATTTCCATCAATGCTTTAATCTAAGCGCTAATCATGAATTGCCTGACTAATGTCAGAGAGGTAAACTTAGATTTCTGGTTTGGTCAACATGGTAGATGATGCTGTCATTCACTGAGACATGAAGCACTGTGGAGGTGAGAAGAGGACGAATGTACACTTTGGGCACATTGGCTTTGAGGTGCTTGAGGCACACAAGTGGAAAATGTTCAGCTAGCTAGAGATACAGACTTGTGGATTATCAGCAAAAATAGTAACTGACATCAAAGAGTAAACACAGACAGATTCACTGGAAAAAGACTGGCAGAATAAAGCAACAGGAAAGATCCCTGAAGAACTCCAATATTGAGGGATATGTTTAGTAAGAGAAATTCACAAAGGAGATTAAGAAAGAGTAGCCAGGAAGGCAATAGACAATGGTGGTTAAGAGCATTATTTTCTGGGTTTGAAGCATGGCTCTGACACTCTCTAGTTGTGATGGTCTTTGGCAAGTTGTTTAACATCTGCCACTCAGTTTCCACGCCCGGAAAACGACAGTAATAATAATACTGACCTTATAGGGTTAACGTGAACACTAATGAATTAAAATGTATGTAGAACACTTGGAAAAGTGATATGGGGTATATTATATAAATGGTAGCTGTATTAAATGTTAATAGGAAAACCAGAAACCTGCAGGGACAAGGAGGTCAAGGGAAGAGGGTTTTTAGGAGGGAAAAATGACAAGCACAAAGACTTAAAGAGTTCAAACTGGAAAAATTCCCTTGGAGTGTGTGGGGAGATTAGAGGGAAAGGACTAAAGAATAGGACTGAAAATTGAAGATGAAACAGTAAAGATAAAGGGTGTTTTGTCATCTTACTACCCTGAGACTTCTATATCTTACAGCAAATGAAAATTCATCGACAAACTACAAAATTTGACCCCATTCTCTTTTGCTTGGTATTGTATACAAGGGCTGACAATTAAGCTCACGGACTCATTCTAGAAAAAGTGCTACACACTTCATTGCTGAATGAACTATGGTCACCTCTGAAGTACTCCTCTTGAGAAGCTATGCACTGATGCTAATGCTTAGTCCACCCATCAAAGCAATTTTGGAACTCTTTTTCTGGAATGGCCATCAGAGCTGTGGTCATATTACCTTTGATGTCCTGAATGCCATCAAAATGTCTTCCTTTCAATATTTCCTTTATCTTCAGGTAAAGAAAAATTCACTGGGGGCCAGATCAGGTGACTAGGGAGGGAGTTCCAATACAGTTGTTTGTTTACTGGCTAAAAGCTCCCTCACAGTGATATGTGAGCTGGTACACTGTCACGATCCAAGAGCTCCTATGGCACCATTTTTGCACACACCTTTCTTATGCCAAGATTTTCAGTTAAGATTTTCCTAACTGCTTCTCTATCAATGTTTGTTTGGTCTGCTATGCTTCCCACAGTAAGCCAACGAGTTTGATGCACAATTTGACGAATTTTTGTAATGTTTTCAACAGTTCTGCTCGGTGCTGGCCATCTTGACCTCTCTTCATCAGTGACACTTTCCATCCCCTCAGAAATACATTTAATCCATTTGTACACTGCCGTTTTCTTCATGGTTTTATACCCAGACACCTGGACTAACATGTCCCTGATTTCACTTCCATTCCTGCCACATTTAACAAGAAATGTAATGTTTGTTCATTACACTAATTCACACTCTGACATTCTCGTTACAACAGCTCAAATGGTTAGTCCAGAAAGAGTTCCAAAACAGCTTTGACGGATGGACTAGGCGCTGGCGTCGGTGCATAGCTTTGAGTACTTCAAAGGTGACCACAGTGATATCCATCAATGAGGTACGTAGCGCTTTTTCTAGGATGAGTTCATGAACTTAACTGTCAGACCGCAGTACTCTTTCTGAATTAGGCTTCCAAGGTTTAATATCGACCTAGATGTTACCTCTCATCCCTATGTTTTCTATGCTATGCTAACTTCCTCAGTTACATTCAAGATTCCAATCTTGGGTTTTTTATTCCTCTCACCATTGTTTTATAACAGGCATATTTTTAAAGTAATCCTTAAGACAATTGATAAATGGAATACAGCACTGACTACTTACTGTATTTTTTAAATGATAATAAATCCTTTTTTAAGGTTAATCTTTTTTGGCTAGTTGTGCTCCCATCAACTCCAATCCTGTTTTATCAATTTGCCCACTACTGTGGTCTCCTCTAATGTTAAGTTAATTACTTCTCATCATTCTTCATTTCAAATAAAGAATCAGCTGATACATTCTGTGGTTTTTCCCAAATACATCTTCTATCCTTTTCACAAATATTTTAGTCTAAGTCCTGATCATCTTCATTTGAATTATTCCACTAATCTGTTTATGGGATCCCTTCCAATTCACTAGCAGGTTTTTCTGCACCACTCCTGTTAAAGGCCTTACAACAATAGTGTTCTCTTACCATATGGATCAAACTCTTCCTCAGTTGTCTCAAAGCACTTCACCTCAGTCAGTCTGTACCACTCATTTCTGAAAACCTATTATAACTTCCTTTGTTGTTCAACTTATTTCCTCCTTGAAATATGTTCTACACCACTGTCATTTGCCTGAAACACATTCTCCTTTTCACCTCATTGGAAACATGACCTATTTTTAATAACTCAGGTGGCATGTCAAATTTCCCTTCTAAGAGAATTTTCCGGGTTCATTAAAAGAAAGCTAATATCTAGCCAGGAACGGTGCCTCACATCTGTAATCCCAAGCACTTTGGGAGGAAGAGGCAAGAGGACTGCCTTAGTCCAGGAGTTTGAAACCAGCCTGGACAACTTGGTGAGACCTCGTCTCTACAATAAATCAAAAACTAGCCAGGTGTGGTGGCATGCACCTGTAGTCCCAGGTACTTGCAAGGTTGAGGCAGAAATATCACCTGGGCCAGGCAGGTCAAGGCTGTGGTAGCCTTGAGTGTGCCACAGCACTCCGGCCTTGAGACTCCAACACAAAAAAATAAATAAGTAAAGCTAAAATTTTTCTCTAAGAAAGCTACTGAGTCAGTCACACTCTTCTCATGGATCTCTACCTGATGTTTTTAGACTTGCCTCTCATTTTGAAGTCTTGATTCTGTCGTTGACCTTCTAATACATTCTGTAATTTGTTTCTTATAAAACATGTATTCACATGTTTATTTGCATTAAAAAATAAACTTAGATATTTTCTGTTAATAATGACAGGAATGGTGTTGCCATACATGAGCAAGTTGGGGGAAAACAACTACTCAGCTCTTAAGACCTCATCAAAAAAATTAACTTCCATAAAATATTTTGCTAAATTTTTAAATCAAAATTTGTAATATATTTGTTTTGAAGAATTATGAATTGCAATCATTACCCTGAAAAAAAAAACAGAATCCCAACTCAATTTAGATTGTTATATATATGTACACACACATACATATACACACATTTATATAATATAAATTTACAAACGTGTGCTTCTATTGCAGATGAGTATGACAGAGAGTAAAAGATTTTCAAGTATAAAAGTATTTTACATCATGGAAAATTTTGAGGGAGAATAACATTCAGGGAGAAAAGGAATACAAAATTTCACACTATTAAAAAAGAGCTCACACACACACATATTTTTTAAAATAAAGATTTCAGGTAGCAAAGTCTGGTGTGGTAGTATTTAGGATTCTGTGGAAAACTTAAGGAGTATTCTAACAGTCTTATTTTAAATGCCAATATTGATAATATTCTGAAAATTATACCCTTTGTAACTATTTTAAGTCATGTGGAAATTTGTAAGATGTTAATATAAAAATGTGCAAGGAGGAACATAGCGCATACATTTCAAAATTTTACTGGGAGTTACGAGATCATAACTTAAAAACCAATGTTCTAACCAATTTCCATATCAATGTGTTTATAGAAAAACATACCCTGCTAACAACTCAAGATCGACATAACAACAGACATAAAACGGGTTCAGAGTTTAGAATATATTAAAATCAGAAAGATACTTTTCCTTTTATCTAGTAATCCCACTTTTAGGATTCTACTTCACAGAAATAAAGGTACCACCATTTAAAGATGTGGCTGTGATGATATCCACCACACAGTGTAAAGCACGAAGAATATCCTGACTAAGCCAGGCTCATGCCTGTAATTCCAACACTTTGGGAAGGAAAGGCAAGAGGATTACCTGAGCTCAGGGGTTCAAGACTACCCTGAGCAACATGGCGAGACCCTGTCTCTACAATAAATCAAAATGTCAGCCGGGTATAGTGACATGCACCTGTGGTTCCAGCTACCTGGAAGGCTGAGGCAGAAGGATCACCTGAGCCCAGCAGGTCAAGGTTGCAGTGGCTGTGAGCATGCCACTGCACTCTAGCATGGGGGACAGAGTGAGACTCCGACTCAAAAAAAAGGAATACCCTGACTATCCTGATTATCTTGAGTTCTATAAGGCTAAGACAGATGGTCATGAGGGATGTCCATGATATACTACAACACACAAAAAAATGCAAGTTGCAGAGTAACATGCATAATATATGAGGGGGGACCCAAAAAAAACAGAATTATTTTTTGGAAGGTGGGACCCTTGTAATATAGGCTTCCTCCACAGGTAAGTGTTCTAGGAGCCCATCAGCATCCATAAACCAGCTAGCATTGCCATGAGAAGCTACATTCAGTTTCAGGGAAATTATTATTATTATTATTATTATTATTATTATTTTGGAGATTCTTTCAGCATATTTGCCCATCTCGTGATGGGGGATTTATGAGCACACCTATCCAAACAGTACTGAGTGTTCAGCAGTTCAAACCCAACTCAACTTAGATTTATATAGACACACACACATATATACACTGGTTATCTCAGGAAACTGGAGTAGAGAACACATTTCCTTACATACTTATACATTCTCTTGCCTTTTGACAAGAAGATAACATACGAGTGGTTTTCAGTACCGAAGATAAAATTATGATTTGGAAATAAAAAAGAAATTCAACTATTCTAAAAAGCAGACATCCATCAACATGACCCAGATTTCTAGGCAAAGAAGAAAAAAATTTAAAAAACAGAAGAAAGGAATAAACAAGGTAAAAGGACACAGAATTTATTTTAATGTGGACTAGTCTAATAAATAATTTATCCTGGAAGGCCTTATGTAAAATTAAAACTTACCGTACAACAGTACTGAAGGGCTATTGCATTTAAAGTGTCTCCTTCTTGGATATCTTTTGTTAATACTATAATGTCATCAAGTCTGTCTCTTGATGTACTTCTTCGGACTTTCTCTTTTCCTCTGGCTCTTAGCTCATACACTTCAGCATCGTCCTCCAACACATCACTGTCTGTACAATTTCCAAATGCATGTACTTGACCACTTGACTGAACTCCTGGAAGAGGAAAGCTGCGATTCTGATGCCTTCCTGCCATACTGTTCAAATCTGAAAGGGAAAAAAAGGAAAGAAAACTTTGGAATGTAGCCGATCTGTTTAATTTACCAGCATCTTACATTCTGGACATTTTATCTTTTGTTTTTTTTTTAAAGAATGGTTTTGGTTGTTTAAAAATTTAGGTTCAAGTTTTATAACTGCTAGAGTATAACAAACATTTGGCAGTGGCGACAACACAGCATGGGGCAACAGGTAATCTATTGTTCTAGACCATACATCGCAAAACATGGCAGTAACTGCATTTTAACCAGGACAAATTGCTATAATTTTTTTTTTTTTTTTGAGTTGGAGTCTCACTCTGTCGCCCAGACTGGAGTACAGTGGCCGCTCCTGGCCACCGCAGCCTCGACCTGCTGGGCTCCGGTGATCCTTCCGCCTCAGCCTTCCCAGTAGCAGGAATTACAGGACTGCGCTACCACGCCCGGCAGATTTTTTGATTTATTGTAGAGATGAGGTCTCGCTGCCCAGGAGGGTCTCGAACCCACAGGCTCAGGCAATCCACTCATTATAATTTTTTTTAAGGTAAAAATATTAAGTTCCCTTATTGTGAGTCTATGAAGAAAATTACAGAAATTATTTTATGTCTTAAAAACTTGTGACCATATATATAACTTATAGTTCTCATAGAATCAAAGTATGGTTTATTCACATGCAATACTTTTATGAATTCAAAATTTTTTGGCTTGTCCTGTATCTTAAGTTCATGCAGGATTGAAATAGCTTTTGCACTACTCACTTCTGGATCATACTGACTTCAGTATTTATATTTAGTACAGTATATGCCTTCCACAGAATTTATGATTTTGCTCTTAACCAGGGAATTTTCTTCTCTGGAAGCTTTTTACCCAACCCAAGTTAGAGACCTCATCAAATTCAGTTTATGGTCCATAAAGATTTTAAGTAGATTTTATGTCACTTTGTTCATTTACACTTCAGAAAAAAACTTTGTAAGACTGACTGGGAGCTGACCTAAGTTTAAAACATACATCAACGTATATTTATTGTTTACCTACACTCACTGTTAACTTACTACCATCAAGTTGATCTATTATCACTAAGAAGAAACACAAGAACCTAAAAAACTAATTCCACACTCACAGTTTTGACTTCATATGAATTATTCACATAAGAAAGGATAGACTGTTTTCAATTACTGCTGTAAAAGATGGAGGAAGGTAGTAAGAGGTATTTTGGAGATAAAATACTTTGGATTTAATATGACTTTGACTTGAAGAGAGGAAAGGTTAAGCAACACACCAAGGTTTCTAATTGGCATAGCTGAATAAATTGCGGGGCCATTCTCTAAGAGATGGAACACTAGAAGAACAAAAACTAGGGAGAGTGGCTGTGTGACTATGGTTGAGTTCTGCTAAGACAGCAAAAGGGAATATCAAATAGACAAGTGGGCTACACAGTCAAATTCGGAGAAAAAGTCTGGGCTAGAAATATGATTTCATGACTAATCTGCATATAGGTAAAGCTAAACCTGTGAGTATAGATGAGGTTACCTAGAGAGAGAGAGTACAGAATAACGACAGAGGGCCCAAGATTGAGACTTGAAGAATTCCCACATGTAGCATTTGGGAGGGAAACCTGCCTGCAAAGATAGAAAGGCATGTCTGGAGGCAGAAACCAGGAAAGTGCTGTGGCAAGGAGTCAAGGCAAAACAACATCTTCTAGAGACGCGGTGTCTTGGAACACAATGGATGAGTACCAAGTAGAAAAGAAAAATAAAAAAAGAAAAATTAAATTTAAAAAAATAAAAAAAGACCAACTCCTAAAGCTTGAATTTGTAAAATGGATGACAATAAGTTACACAGGCTTAGCATTCCTAATCCAAAAATTGAAAACCTGAAATACGCTGAAATCTGAAATTTTCTGGGTGCTGATATGAAGTCACAAATGAACAATTCCTCACCCGATGTTTCAGATGAGGGATGCTAAATCTGTACAGGCTTTCTGGTGATGCTACTGTGCTGAACTCATTAATTTTTTTCACTGAATTAATGGTATATCATATTTTTTGCTGTTAAGTATGCATGTATGACTAAGTGTGATGATTGCTTACCAGTCGCATATAAATTCAGTCAGGAACGACGGTGATGCCAAACAACCACAAACTATCCACAGGGTGGCTGAGATGAGACTTTTGTTTTCTGATGGCTCAAGGTACACAAACTTTGTTTCATGCACACGAGTATTTAAAATACTATATAAAATTACCTTCAGGCTATGTGTATAAGGTGAATATGAAACAAATTCTGTGTTTAGACTAAGGTCCTGTCCCAATATATCTTATTGTGTATATGCAAATACTCCCAAATCCGAAAAAATCTAAATCTGAAACACTTCTGGTCCCAAGCATTTCAGATAAATACTCCACCTGTACTCTCTACACAGGCATATACTTATACAATGTTTTGAAACTTTCATATAATTAACTCCAAATTGAAAACCAGTTTCTGATCCTGCTATATGGCAAAATTGTAACAACGCTTTAAAAACTCAAGGATTTCTATTCAAATACTGCAGATAACTAACAGCTATATACTAAATTGGTTATTTCAACTATTCCCAATGTACTACATTATTTATTACCAAGAACTAGAATGCTTAACCTGACAAACACCAAACTAAAGAAAGCCACCACATTTTATATCTCAAAAGTAGTTTTGAAATCATGATTATGTCTGTTCCTCCAAGGATAACAGTTTCATTTCCACTGATTTAGCCAGGTCCTTTTTATCTTGTGTCTTTAATTTAGGGAATATCTGTGAAACTTATGGATTCATCAGCAAATTTTATACATATGTATTTTTTGGGGGGAGAACATTCATTGCTTCGTATTCCTAAAAGGCACTCATGATTTTTTAAAAAGTGAAAAATCATTTAATATACAGTAATTTACACATGATTATATTGGCCCAGTTATGTTGTCCCTTTAGACTACTTCTCCCTGATAAGTTGTTCTTAGAACCTTAAAACTGGCTTAGATCAGTTAACTGAAAATCACTGAGGAGTGCCCCAAAACCATTTTAAATATTTATATCAACCTCTCTCCATGATGTCTTTCTAAACAACACTTAAAGACCAGAACATGTCTCACTCTCTCTCCACTCCCCACAACCTGGATATCCTGAATGATCAAGAACTGGCTGTGTCTCTAATGGAAGTGAAAAGCTAAACGCTGACCCACACAATCAACTGAGTCAGCTGCTTAGAGATTAGCAAGTACACAATATCCAAGTCATTGGGCTCAATTCTGTTCACCTGGTTAGTTCCCTGAGGGCAGGAAAAAGGCAGGAATCCCCCATTCAGAAAACTGGGACAAGAGCTTAGGATTCCTAACTTCACAGCCACCAAGCTAAAGAAAGCTACCACATCTTATAGCTCAAAAGCAGTTTTGAAGTCATGGTCACATCGACTCCTCCGAGGATAGGCTGTGCCTCTAATCGAAGTGAAAATCTAGACTGTGAGTCAACTGCTTAGAGATTAGAAAGTACATCCCAGTCATCCGGTTCAAATCTACGCTTCCTAGATTAGAAAGGGTCACAAACAGTAATTCATTGCCAATGTGGACAGGGCATTCGTCGGCTCAGCTTGCAACTGAGAATGGGTTCCCAAGCACCCAGGTACCCAGCAAGAACTGCAGCTGAGTGTTTCGCTTTGACCTTCCTTAACTGAGCAGGCAGCAATAAAGGGGTCACAGGGCACAAGAGAGCTCCGCCCGGGGACAGAACTAAGGGCATCTTAGCCGCCAGGACCACTGTCATTTCTAAAAACATGGCTTCCTCTATTCCACACGTCTAGTTCTTTCCCGGTTATCTCAGCGGGGTTTTAATCTCAGATTTCTGTCCCCGCATCACACCTGGACGAAGTGACAAGGGAAGGCGACTATTTCCCGACAGCAAGTCGCGGGAGAAGAGCAGGGTTTGGGTGGAAAGCCCACTGTCCCGGTCCTCCGGCAAGCGGGCGCCCTTCCTCTGAACCTCAGTTTCTCCGATGTGACAAGGGGTCGTGGCGGAGCGGGTCTCCAAGGTCTCCCCGGTTTCGGAGTGTCCCCCCTCGCGGGCCGGGGGCCGAGTCCCTCCAGTCGTGCCCGCGGCCGAGGGCTCCGCGCCGCCCCCAGCGAGAAAGCAGCGAGGCCCAACCCCGCCCGCCCGCATCGAGCTCCCGCACCTCCGCCGCCATCTTTACCTGTCCCGTCAGAAGAGGGGACGCAGCGAGGAGACCGCTACCAGGTCAGTCGCCCCCGCCGCAGCTGTCTCGGGCAAGTTCATGGCCAAGCCTTAGTTTCTGGCTGCCCGGGTCCGCCACCGCCGCGGCCGCCAACGACTCCGCCTTCCGGGCCGTGCGCCTCCGCCACGTCCGCAAACCTGCGCGGCGTCATCGCGTCAAGTGGGCGGAGGTAGGCAGGGGCGGGGGAGGAGGCGACGGACGGGGCCCCGGGGGCGGGCCCAGAGCCGGGGCGGCCAACCACCGGCCCACGCCCGGCGCGCAGGCGCAGAGACGGCTCCAGTACTCGGGTGCGGGGCCCTGTCCCCAGCCCCGCCTCTGGCTCCTCCCCTTAGCGTCAGCCTGGTGTCTCGAGGCGGGGGATCTCTGCCTTGAGCTCCTGCTGACCCTGCGAACCCCCGGCGACCTAATGGCCTCGCCTTTGTCCAGCGCCCGCACGGCACTGACACAGATTGTCCAGAGAGCACCGAGAAGGAGGCGGAGCAGAGGATTGGTCGGGGAGCTGTCGAGCCGTTTTTTTTTCCCTTTGCATCTGGAATTTTCTCTAAGGTGGGGAAGGACACCTCAAAAGCACTGTGTTGCGATTCCTGTTTTAGAAAATCGCACAATGCTTATTACCTTTTTTAGTGCTGAAAGCCTCCAGACTGCTGCAGAAGAGGCAAACTACTGGAGAGAAACCCTTGTATGATGTGGGGAGGGGGTGGTTGTTGCAGCCTTTGTGTTTATAGGCGAGGAAAGTGAGCCACCTAGAGTCAGGCCC